CTGTTGATAGTGCACTGGAATCTTTTTGATTTGTCACCAACATGATTTCCTCAGCTATGAAAGCTGAAAACAGACTGCACTAAGAGACTCAGAGTTTCAACTACTGATTTCTCCTTTCAAACTAAGTTATTAAATTTATAGAGAAACCTGTTTGATAAGAAAGAGACCCTTCACAAAATCCATGGCTGGCTCACGCCTAGAATTTTATTCAATCCATTCAAAAAATAGACAGAACTATAAGGTGGCACATATTGTCAGAGAGTACAAATGTCACATCTTTCTTTATACAGTTTAATTTAAATCCATAGATTAAGACAGTGAAATAATTGCCCTGGGTGGGAAAATAATTGAGGGTCTTCCATGAAAGGACAAGTCTTCAAGTTAGCATTTACACAAATGTATCTGGTTAAGCATAACTTTTTCTATCCTCTATAAAAATATAAACAGCATTTCAAAATGTCTTTAGGTAAGTATGTTAAGGTCATCTAACATGGCATCAATGTACTGACAGAATATGAGGCCTGGGCATGTCAAACCACATTTAGTAATCCATACCCAGCTGGAAGAAAACATACTGTATGAGCTTCAAACATAACACAACATAATGAAACAATATCAAACCAAAGATACACAAGTACAATGTTCCTCCTTCCATATGAATTCCTTCTATTTTGTTTTTGTTAATATGGTAATGAACAAGACAGAAGTGGCAGTTATGCACAGGTTAATTGTAACTAACACAGGATCAAGTATAACTTGCCCTTCCCAGAAAGTAACATCACTGGGAAGTGACATGCACCAGGATCAAACTAAGGGCACTCACTGTCATGTATGTTTTACCTCTGCAGTATCACTTCGATGCAGACTGTAGCATGTGACAGGAGGACAGGTGCAAATTACAAGGGCAGAATCTTGGCTTTCCAGAGAGCAGAACCAGAAGTTAAAGGTAAGACTAAACAGCATTTTACTGGCAAGAAGAAAATTAAACAAAAAGCCAACTCATCTAAACTTGAAATAGTGGGATGTAGGGTGTTCCTGGTACAGCTGTCATAAATGCACCCTATGTTTTCCAGGGTTGCAGTCTGATAAGCTAAACACCTAATCGTTGTTGCAAGGACTTACTGGTTCAACACAGATTAAAATGTTCAAATACACTGAATATATTGGCCACAGGTCTAATCACAAAATTTCCCTTTTCCCAATCCTAAATTTGTATTGGAGTAGCTTCCCTCTCAGCTGTGTGTTTGTATAGCAGAGCACTGGATGCTGTAATTGACTAGCACGTATGCCAACAACGGCTGGTATTTTCCAGTTAAAGTGAGAAACAAAACCTAAGGAAAGGGTCAGGTTTCAGATAGAGGTTGGACATTTTGAACTTTGGACAAAGTGACAGGTATCTTTGATTCTCCCGGTGCTGGCGCTTTTGTGACTGGGTTTGCATGGGCTTTTATATCAGCTATTCTCTCTTTGAATCTTTGCTGGAGGTACTTTTCTTCTTTGGAGTAACTTTTAGCAAAAGCAGACATCAGCAGACATGCTGCCACAGTGGACCCTCCAACGCAAAACAGGATTGCTCCTGCCAGCTTGCATATATCAAGGGACCCATTAAACTGAATGGCACGGGCATCCACCACAACAAAATCATCTTTCCCAAGAGCTTCGATTTTCGGTGGCACAACAAAACCCACTACAAGAACCGTTAAACCTATGAGCATAAAAGCCGTCCCAGAGATGAGTCCGACCTGGAAAACAAAGAAACAAACAAAATTAATTAATATGCTCTTCCAGTTTTTCATTGGTAAGTGGTCCTAGGGGGCATCTAGCTTCCACAGTGTCTCGCAGGTACAGTTTTGTCTTCTAGGAGAAGGATGACATTTTTCTTTCAGGTCATAAGGGGCCCTATTAGAACTTGAACATACAGAGAAACTGTCTTTTTACAACTTGTATTCATTTAATTCAGCACTGACATTTCTGGAAACAATGGAATACGCATGCAAATAGCATTTCATGTCCAAAGGCCTTATCACAGAGAGGATCACAGTTTAACCGTAGTGCTGTGTGACTCATTATTTCTTTAGCTTTAGGTGGTGGTTAGAACCAACAGTTAGTCCCTGCTGATAGTCATATAATCATAATGTCATACCCACCACTTGTTTTTACTCCATACAATTCCTTTCCAGGGATTAGAAAGAAGTTGCTATTGCTGAGCACAGATCACAGAATATTTCTAGCACATCTCAAGTGTATGTGCAAAATTTGGTTCACACAGAATGGCCCTACCATCAGAGTAGGGGGTTGCATTAGGTGGCCTCACAGGCCTCTTTCAAGCTCTGATGTTCTCCAGTTCTGTCAAGTTCCCTGACCTTAACAGAAACCTTGCAGTTTTCTTGATCCTTAAGTCACACAGTCCTAGAGTTACTGCTGTTATCTACCAGTCCTACTCCCGACAGTCTGGCAGGATTATTGTGGGTGCAGAGCAAAGGCAAACTACACCTTCAAGCTATGGGTGGGGTTTCCCAAGCAAGACTTTGATGTTTCAGTGACATGGCTCCTTCTGACAGAGAAATTAGAAGATCCAAAGATCCTAGAACTCCCTTGGAAATTGATGCATCTTGGTAAGAGTGCCCTGCTTTCAGGCAGATTGTAACTCAGTCATCTCAGGGAAGACTGAGCAACAGAAGGCCTTAGTTACTTTCCCATTTAACCAACTCATGAGTCACATGGGAAAGCACTGGAAATGGGAGTTTCTCTTGCCAGTAAACAGCAACGGACAGCACCTTCCAGAATGTAGAGCTCCACCTGCTAGGCGATCTCTGGATCTGAAAATCATCCTCATACTCCCAAATTGAAGCTGTGCAGTCCTCATAGAACTGATGCAGGTAGGACCGAACTCCATAGCGTTGGTACCCTCCCTCGGTGCCGCCCTGCGTGTGCTTGGACCCGCAGATGTCAGCATAGGCGCTCATCCTTCCTACCTGCAATGAGAGGTTTCATGCAAAGCAGATCGTTAGTGATGCGGTAGGAGACCAAAACTGCAAACTGTCTAGCTGACATGAAGAAAAGCAGCCCAGGAGAGACATTTTCTTCATGTTTTTCCAAACCAAAAAGTTGCATGCAGTGATTGAGCTCAAGAGAACCCAAGGCACTCAGTGTCTTGCCACAGCACAGCCTAAAGGTACTGAAGAGAACACTCCCTGCCATACGCAGAGTGCCCACTTGCCATCTTTTGCTCAGCGTGCTACTGCATTTCTGTGGAGACCAAAAAAAGCAGAACATATCAGGTAATAAAAGCCAGCACTCCTCAAGGGCTTCTATCAGTTCACTAGAGTTTGCAGCCTTAAGAATTACGAAATGGGTAAGGCTTTTTCAATAGTTTTTTTCACCAAGCTTCTGAAATACAGTACGAAACACTGATAGAACATTCATAGCCATGAGGAACAGAGGCAAAACAAGTCCCAGATAGACTGAAACTGCATACATCCTGTACTTAAATATGGATAATTAAAAATGAAAAGGATGGAATACCATAACAGCACTAATCTGCTCACTGAAGACAGTGAAATTAAAATACTAAACCTGTGGCAAACCGCTGCTCCCTTGGAGAAGTCAATGCCCAAGCTCCTGCTGACTTTAATAAAATCAGGATTTTGCCTGCTATGAAAACTGCCAACAATGTTCCCTACTCTTTCCACTTCATGGAAGTTCTCATAACACACAAAATTTGTATTTAACTATGCAAGTCCCAGGCCTGATCTTGCTTGCACAGCTGTGATGCTACTGAATTCATTAAAATAATATTACCCCCTAAAAAACTTGAGCAACAGGTCCATGTTATTTAAGTTGACTGATTTGTCTTTAAAGAAGTTCAAAAAGTCTTAGTCCAAAGGGAACTGTTAATCAGTACTTGCATCTGAATGTCACAGTTCAAATTATATCAGCTTCAAGCAGTTCATCTGATTGCCACAGCAATTTTACTTAAAGGGAAGGAAGGAGGATTCGACGTGCCTCACAGCAGCTAGGGCCTCCAAATTTTACAGCCCTACAGGCCTTTGCCCTTCAGGAATGGGTGATCTTGATGGGCACATTTTGAGGTACAAAAGAAAAAAAAGAAGTGGTATGGATATAAGTATATATTCTAAACTCCTGTGTGGAAACACAGAAAGTAATTCTACTTTTGAAGCCTGTTTGAGCAGAATGGAAGTTTTTTTCCTCTGACTCCATAAGGTCAACAAAGGGGAGGACCAGACCTAACATGACCAGATAATGTGGCCTGCCAAAGCTTGCTTGTATTACTCCAGCTGCCACCAGAAGACAACTTTAGAGCTTCTTTAGTTTCTCCAGAAATCAGGTGAGGCACATTGCAACTGTAGTTACTGCAATGAATTTAAAAAACCTCTATGTTATGCGACAGAAGGCTGTATAAACACGACCTTGCATTTGCTGCACTGTCTGTAGGTTTAGTCAAGAGAAAGGAGGGTGTTTTGTTACTAACAGCTTGATGAAGAATTGTCTATAGGAACCACACAGCTTGGAATCACTTATATTACACCTAGATTATTTTTCTTTAGCAATCTGAAACGCTAATAGGTGGGTCTGGTCAGGCATATGAGCAAAATGATAATTAAGAGCTGGGAGATGGAATAAAAACCAAAATAATGATCTTTTGCTTGAAAGAATTTTGATAGCATCAAACAGTATGACCTTTTAAAATGGAAGGGAAAAAGAAAAAAGCATCATTAACTCTTCTCAAGCACTGCATAGTATTAGTCCTACTGAACATTTTCCTTATGCTCAGACTCTTCCACTTACAAGTGATCTCCTATCTTTTGCAAAATATCTTGTGTATTAGAGAGAAGATGAAAAGGCTTCCCAGCCCTATATGACTCACTGAAGCAGCCTGGTAATTTGGCCTAAAATGGTCTCCTCGGCTGTAATGCAAACATAATGTTGCTGTTCTTGCTACTTACGGATGGGGCAGAGGAACTGACACAGTCAGACTATGGTGGGAGTAAACAGTTCTCCATAAATAAGAAGGAAACGTGTCACAGCCATCAATTTACATCAGATGAATAAATACTGCAGTGGCTATGATCTCCTGAGTGTTGATGTATATTTGCATGTCTCACCTTTATGGCTGCGAAACTAAATGCTGAAATGTTGGAAAACTTGCTAAAAAGAGAGTCACAGTTACCCAATCTGTGTAACGCACAAGATCAGAACACGCATCCAGGACGCAGGAAGTGGTTTAATCATTAAAAGTTCTTCAGTGCCTAAACCTGAGGAGCCTAGGAACACGTGGGATGTATGATCACAGCTTCAAAGCACACCACTGCATAGTAGCAATCCATCCCCTAGCAACTTTTGTTTCCATGGCAAAAGCTTGTCCTGTTTACTTTGCGCTTTACTATTCTCCACTGATCTGGGGAGATGTGACCGGGTTGGTGAACAGGCAGATTAAAAGATGAGCAAGCTCCAAGAAAAATCACTCAATTTCCCAACTACTTTGCTTTCTTACTGCAGGGTTGGACACATTAAAAAAACCCCGAAACCTATGTAAAGAACCGACATCTGAAAGGCAGGACAAAGCAAATGAGGATGTGCCACTGCTCTGCGACATCCCACAGCACCAGATGTAAGCCACAGTCGCTGATAGGTTTGCATAGGTGAAGTCCCCCTCTCCAGATTTACACACTTGGACCCTTCTGTTCAGAGGGCCACGGTTCCAGGCTTTACCTACCGAAAGCAAGTCCCCCGTGAAGAGTGAACACTGGAATAAATAACCTCCCTCTGACCGCCGCCTCCGAGATGGCCCTTTCGATACCTCAGACCCCTGTCA